CAGTTGCTCCCCATCTTATTTTTTGAGACAGGGTCTCTCTAATTTCTGCTAGATTGGCTGAGCAAGCTCTAGGAATCCTCCTGTCTCTACCTCTCCAGTGCTGGGATTTGAATCATGCACCATGGAGCCTGGCTTTTATGTGGGAGCTGGGCTAGAACTCAAGTCCTCATGCTTGGGCAGCAGGCACTTAACTGAGTCATCTGCCCAGATGCAGATAAACTCTCTTCTAGGGGAAACCATGTATCACACTTTTTCTATAATATAATGATATGATAGCTTCGAGATCAAGTCCCACTCACCCTCCCACACAAGGTTTCCATTTATTATTGAAGCAGGGAAACAGAGTCTCTCTGTGTATGTAGTCTCAAGATCACAGTCTTCCTAACCCAGTTTTCTGCTTGGCAGAATTTCAGGAAACAATGTCCATTTTATAAAAGGCATTGGTTCTGCCTTTTAAAATATTTTATTTTTATTACTTTAAATTATGTGTGGGAAGGGGAGGTTGCATATGAATGCAGCTATCTGTGGAGGTCAGGGGTCCTATTCCCCCTGGAGGTGGAGTTACGGGTGGTTGTGAGCTGACAAATGTGGCTGCTGGGAATTGAACTCAGATCCTTCTATCAAGCACACTTAGTCCCTGAGCCATCTCTCCAGCCTCAGTTTTGCCTTTTTAAGCAATAACAACCAGTTTATACAAGTAGACAGGATATATTTTATGTTCCACCATTGTTTATTACATAATGGCATTATTTAAAAAAAAAAAACCAAGGCAATATCCCTTTTTGAAATTTTGCCTAGATAGAAGTAATACTAGGTGAAAGATAGTATTTGATTATAAGAAACTGATGAAGCAATTATGTTAATTTTTTTCTTTTGGTGCTGGTGAGATGACTCATCAGATAAGGTTACAGAAGTCTGAGAACATAATAATCATAAATTTAAAAAAATCATTGTGTTAATTGGTCTGACTAACCTGGGTTCTCTCTTTTCCCAGTTTTTATATCCATTCAGCTTTTGTTCTGTCTTCTTACTCATTCCAAAACTGGACAAAATGACTTTTTCATTCAGTGATCTGTCAACAGCATCCTATACTTTTATACTTGTAACTTTCAACATGCACACACACACACACACAAACACACACACACACACACACACACACACACACACACAAAGATACATTATTGCCAGGCAGTGGTGGCGCACGCCTTTAATCCCAGCACTCTGGAGGCAGAGGCAGGTGGATCTCTGAGATCCAGGCCAGCCTGGTCTACAGAGAGAGTTCCAGGACACCTAGGGCTACACAGAGAAACCCTGTCTCAAAACAAAACAAAAAAATCCAAACATTATTTCTCGTGTATACTTTACATGCTTAGTTCTTTGCTGTTTTTATTTAAATAGTATTTAAATAAACACTATTTATTAACTAGAATTCCTCTGTATTTAGCTATTTTTGAGGCAGGGTCTCACTGTGTAGTCCTAGCCATCCTGGAACTCAATATGTAAACCAAGCTGAGTTTGAACTAACAGAAATCTACCTGCCAGGACCCTCCCTCCAAAACCCAACCTCCATCTCTCCCCCATCCCACCCCACTGCCCCAGGGCTGAGATTAAAGGCTTTCACCATTCCACCACACCTGGCACTTTTTTGTTTGTTTTGATTGTTTTTCAAGACAGGGCTGTCCCGGAATTTACTCTGTAGATCAGTCTAGCCTTGAACTCCTAGAGATCCACCTGCCTCTGTTGGGATTAACACTACTACCCAGCCATTAATATTCTTGACATATCTTGAATATATCATGAAAATTTTGAGAGACATTAAATTATTTTGGTTTTGGTACCAAATCATCAATCAATCAATCATTAAAAACTCTGCAGAAGTGTGCCTAAGGATGTAGGCTTAGTTGGTGGAGTGCTTGGCCAGCACTCATGGCATAAGTTAGGTGTGGTGGCACACCTGGAAACCCCAGCAAATAGAGATGGTGAGGGAGGCAAACTACATTTAACTCGTGTTAGTGGGTTGCTTATGGAGCAGCCCTCCTTTCTCTCCTAGTGTTGGACTTACAGGTGGACACCACTGTACCTGACTTTTGCTGGGCTGAGGATCAGCCCAGCTCTATATGCATGCTAGTCCCCAGACAATCAAAACATTGTCTATGTCAAGAGTACATGTGAGTTTAAGACCCTGGCTAGAAGCCGGGCGTTGGTGACTCCTGCCTTTAATCCCAGCACTCGGGAGGCAGAGGCAGGTGGATCTCTGTGAGTTCGAGGCCAGCCTGGTCTCCAGAGAGTGTGCCAGGACAGGCTCCAAAGCTACACAGAGAAACCCTATCTCGAAAAACCAGAGGGAAAAAAAATAAATAAAGACCCTGGGAATAAAATAAATAAAAAAAATAAATAGAGGCTGGGATGTGACAAAACCACTGGGCTCCATCCTAGAACTGCTGGGAGGGATGGAAGAGAAGAGGGAGAGGGGAGGGAGGAATAAAAAAATTTCAGCCTAGGATAGGAAAGTGAAGCAAACATAGTTGATCCAAGGACTTAGATTTTTTTGATTCAACCCAGGACCTTAGGCATTCGGAGTGAACACCCCATCTCCGAACTTCATCTCCCATCAGCAGGCTCTGTTCCTACTTCCCTATTCTGTTTGTCCTCACACTTCCTCCCCATCCTCCCTGGTTGGCCTCAAATGACCCCGACCCCCACTGCGCCATCCCCTTCCACTGAAACCCCCACCCTGTTGGGACCCCAGCTCAGGTTGGAGCTATAACTCTATACCTCCATATCTCCATACCTAGTATCTTTAAAATTTAGGGTGAGAAGGTCAAATGGGTATATTCAACTTTTTCCTACCAGTTAGTTACCCAAACTTTTCATTTATCTTTTGGAAAAAGTCTCAGATAGGCTTTCTTGACACCATTTTAGAAACTTCCTCACAACCAAATTAGATGTCCAACTTGGGAGCACTTACTGTTATCTCTTTGTCTCTCTTTTGTCAATCAGAGAAGCTGGGGGTAACCCTGGAGCCTACCACTGGCAGTGGACTCTCAAGCTGTGGTCTATATAAAGTAGCGGTGTTAAGTTCTTTGCAGGACTGATTGGTATGGGGCAAAAGGAACCCCACATACTTGGTCCCCGAGCTATTTGTATTGAGTATGCACATGTAGACTACAGTCTATTCTCTGTAGCAGCCCACAAGCCCACCGTTGACTCATTGACCTGACCATTTCCCTCTCCAGCTTGAGGTTGGTCCTCTTTATGCAGTGATGCAGTCATTTTCTTTTATTGCTCCCAACAGACGGAAAGCTGCTGGGAACAGAGATCAGGCTAGCCCCGGGTCTGCCTGCCAATCACTTCTACCACTAGTCTGAACTCAGATTGCTTTGCAAGCTTTCTCCTACTATGGGGCCACCCTGCCTTCTCTGCACGCATGCCCCTCCTTAGACTCTAAAATCAAAAGGAAGCTCTCTTTGCTTCTTGTTCCTGACTCCTCATCTCAAGATAGTCTGGTAGAGACACAGAAAACCAAATTGGTAATTCACCTGGCCGCAAAGGATACACGGGGAGTGGCATAGGACAGAGGGTGGGGTGTTCTGGAACAGGTCTTGTGGAATGGGGCAGTTGGGGTGGAGAGCAGGCTGAGGACTGGCACTGGGAAGATGGCCAGTAGACAGGAGCTAGCTGGGAGAGGCCCTACGGATCAGACCAAGGAGTTTGGACTTTATCCTCAAACAGGAGGGTTTTATTTAGGTAGATGAGTGACATGGTTTTTATTATTTTTATCTTTATTGCTTTTGTTTAAAGTTATAAAGTTGAAATTTTTTTAATGTAAAATAACGATGAGAAATTTGGCCCTTTCTGAAACATCATTTTGGCAATGGGGGTATAAAGTACAGAATTAGAGGGGAGGAGTCAGGGAGGTTATTAGGACCCAGGCCAACTGCAGGAAGAGCAGGGAAGGATGGATTGTTAAGCCTGGAAGATGATAGGATAGGTATATGGGGAGTTATGGGGAGATAAGGTGAACACACAAGTACCTGACTTTAGGAAGCTGGTACTGCAGCAGGCCTGTGAACTCACCCATACCATTTGAGAAACAAAATAGTACTTGGAATTTGTTTACTTATTCATTGGTTTATTTGGTTTTTGAGACAGGGACTCACTATGTAGTAGCTCTGACTGTCCTAGAACTCACTGTGTAAACCAGGCTGGCCTCAAACTCACAGAGATCTGCCTGCCTCAGCCTCCCGAGTGCTGGGATTAAGGAGAATTTAGTTTTGTAAATTTACATTGTGTGTGTGTGTGTGTGTGTGTGTGTGTGTGTGTGTGTGTGTGAGTGAGTGAGAGAAAGAGACATGTGTGGAGGTTAGAGGACAATTTTTAGAAATCAGTTCTGTCCTTCCATGTGTGTTCTGGTGTTTGAACTCAGGTTGTCAGGCTTGGTGGCAAGCACCTTAACCAGCTGAGATATCTCATGGCCCAGTACTTGGAATTTAAAAGGAAAAATGTTATCTGTCACCTACACAGCTCCCATTCTAAACATTCCATACAAACAGCCTGGCGAAAGCACAGAGGCCTTGAAAAGGAATGAGGAGAGAGGGAAGGGAAGAGCCACAGCAACCACAGACCTCTTAGTAATTATGGCATACATTGTCCATCTACCAGGTGACATACAGATTGTCAACACACCAGGTGACTTTTAATCCCAGTCCAGTTCCCCCTGGCCCTCTTAATGGCTTCTAGCTATTTCCTTTTGGGATCTGGCCAGCATAAGCTCAGGAAATGCTAAGTTTTAATTCTGGAATCAGTAAAGCATATTAGCAAAGGAAATCCACAAATAAAAAACAGTCATGTTATGAATTTCAAAGCCAAGGGAAAGGATCACAAAATGGACTATGAACCGCAGGGGACAGAAATCACTTCATTCACTTTGTGTGGGATGCTTGAGACTGGCCCTGAGATCCCTAGGACTTGGCCCATTTTGTTCCTGTTTGTTTCAGAACCTCTGTCTGGCACAATCTCCAGCTCTGGCTCTGGCCTCTTGTGACGAGGGAGACGCTTGACCACGCAGGATGCAGACTCAGCACTTTCAGAGGGTGAATATATTTGGAAAGCCCTTACCAGTTGCTCTTTATTCATTGTTTCTTGGGCTCTTGACTGATGATTTACTACATAGCACTGCAGAATATTCAAGTACATTCAGATTTACATATTTTTCCTTTTCTAAAAGACGATTGTGCTTTGTGTATGGGAGTGAGCATACATGCACATGGATGCAGAGGACAGCCTCCAGCAGCATCCTCAGGGTACCATCTCCTTCCCTTGAGACAGGGTGGGTCTCTTGTTAGCCTTCACCAATTTAGGCTGCAACTGGATAGGCAGTGAGCCCAACACTCCTACTGTCTCTGCCTCCCAGGCACTGGGGACCACAAGCAGACCAGTAAAAATGCATTCTGGGGCTCAAACTCTGATCCTATTTGTGAGGCAAGCACTTTACCAACTATTTTATTCTGCAGCCTCTTGGCCTCAAACTGACAAAATCCACCCCCCCCCAAAAAAAATCTTCTAAAGGCTGGTTTTACAGGCATGAGTCATCATGTCCAGCACCTAGATTTTTAAAACTACTGTACACTCAACAGTATGCGCATGTTCTCATACTACTCACAGCAATATCCTGTTCAATAACTTTGCTCAAAAGCACCTTTGGGCAGATGTAGCTCAGTTGGTAGAGTGCTAACCCAGAACCTGGTAGGTGTTCAATCCCCAGTGCTATAAACCAGACGCAGCAAATGCCTGTAATCCCAGTATGGATTAGAGGGAGGAGGATCTGAAGTTCCAAGGTTAACCTCAATTACACAGTGAGTGTGAGGTCACCAGCCTGGAATACATGAAATCCTCTCATAATTAAAAAAAGGGGTGGGGAATTGGCTGTAGGATACCTGTGAAGATATTTTTGTTTGTCCTAGGGGCTGGGCCTGTTGCCCATTGAATGCAAGGCATGCAGCTCTATCCCTGAGCTATTCTCAGCTCTACCCTTTTGTGTCATTAGTATTTATTTCTGATGCTGATCTCAGGATAGTAATGCTTAACACTGAGGGGTGAGTGTGGGCCTCTGGCCTCCTGAGTTAATCATTCACCTGGGCTGGCTGCTCAGAAGGGAACCAGAGGAATGCAGACATCTGCCTGCAGGAAGGAGGCCTTGGGGTCAGCCTAGGAGGTTGATTGTACACTCTGCTCCACAGCTTTCATCCAGTCCCGAGTTACACGTCATGCTCACCTCCATTTTCCCGGACTGCAGTTCTTGGAGAAGGAAAAGAATAACCTGACTGGCCAGGATATGGACTTCAACTGCAGCTTGTTTAAATCAACAACAAATACTCAACCAACTTGGGAAGCAGAGGCAAGAAGATCTCTGAGTTCAAGGCCAGCCTGGCCTACAAGGCCAGTTCCAAGATAGCCAGGGCTACAGAGGAAACCCTGTCTCCAAAAACAAAAAACATCCCAAAACTGTAATTTTTTGAGGTAGGGTTTCATGTAGCCTAGGCTGACCTCTAGCTCTCCATCTCCCCTACTCCGCCCCCAAACACAAAACAGGGTTTCTTTGCATAGCCCAGGCTGTCCTGGAACTCTGCAGAGGGTGGCCTTGAACTGTCTGTGCTGGGATTAAAGCTAATGCTAACCTCCAGCTTTTTAGTATTTTATTTTTAATTATGTATTACGTAAGTTCAAGTACTCTCAGGGGCCAGAAGAGGATGTGGGATACCCTAGACCTGGAGGTAGAGTTGTGAGCTACCCGACCTGGATGCTGGGAACCAAACCTGAAATCACAAAGGTCAAAAAGTGCTTTTTTAAGCCCCGATCTAGCCCTTTTGCTTCCCTGGCCTCAAACTTCTGTGTTTTTTTTTGTTTGTTTGTTTTTTTTTTTTTTTTTGAAACAGGGTTCTTCTGTAGCTTTGGAGCCTATCCTGTCCTAGAACTTACTCTGTATACCAAGCTCAAACTCAAGAGATCTGCCTGCCTCTGCCTCCCGAGTGCTGGGATTACAGGCATGAGCCACCACTGCCTAGCTCAAGCTCTTTATTCTCCTCCCTCTAACACACACTCAGCTGTGGCTTCATTTGCTCAGACCACTGTTTTCTTGTTGCAAATGCATTAGGATTTTTCAAGACAGGGTTTTCTCTGTGGCTTTGGAGGCTGTCCTGGAACTGCCTCTTATAGACCAGGCTGGTCTGGAACTCACAGAGATCCGCCTGCCTCTGCCTCCCGAGTGCTGGGATTAAAGGCGAGTGCCACCACCGCCCAACAGGATTTTTCTTTTTAATCCCCTCTTGAAAGCGAGAGCCATATTACATTTTTCTTTTAAAGCTAGGGTTAGAGGTCAGTAGTAGAACATGTGCCTAACATGTGCTTTGGGTTCAATTCCCCAACATAATATCATAGCAAGGAAATTAATTGTATGGAAAATAAAATCCAACATGGTGGCGGGGTAGAATTAAAACAAGCCCAACCCAACCCAACCCAACCCCACCTCCCTCTTATACTGGTGGTGGAATACTTGTGAGCACAAGGCTCCGGATCCTACCTCCAGTACTGCAAAACAAGTAAACCATGGAGGTGGTAGGGAGAAAAATTCCTTCCATCTTTGAATTTGGACTTTAGGACTTGGCCAGGGATAGAAAACGTTTTAGTCAAAGTCCAGTTACTCCTTATATTTCTTATATTTGCTGTGAACAAGGAGCCACTACACACTGCAAAGAACTTGTTTGGTACAACCCCTAGGGGTGGACACCAACTATCAATATTTGGTGTAAGACACTGATGCTCAAGGTGGGTAAGGAACTTCTTTGAGCCTCAACTTGAACCCAGTGTTAAAAGTCAGAACAAAGTAGACTAATGTTCTTCTTCATATTTGATACTTTTACGGGACTGGGGTGATGGCTCACTGTAAGAAAGCTTGATGAGCAAGCCTGAGCACCTGAGTCCAAATTTCCAGATTTCACCTGAAATGTACACACCACACATATACAAAAAACAAACAACCTCCATATTCTATATTCACACATGCTATTGTTGCACATTTGAATTTAAGTTATCATGGCCTAGAGAATGGAGTAAATGGTGACTGAATCTAAAAAGCCTAGGGCAAAGCCTTTAATCCCAAAGGCAGGTATGTCTCTGTGAGTTTAAGGCCAGCCTAGTCTATATAATAGTTCCAGTTCAGCCAGGGCTACATAAAGACCCTGTGTCAAAAAGCAATGTACTTAAATTCACGCCCACCTCCCAATCACTAGCCCAGATACAACTTGGCCTCAGGCCAGGCAAGCTTGGGTTGTCATTTCCTGTCAAGAACTCAGGCATTCAGTTACTCAAGTCTATCATTAACTTCTTTCTTCATGTCTTCCAGGTACTGTGCCTGACTTCATTTGCTGTATTGTAAACCATGTGCTAGGGAGGGTGAAACTCAAGATAATCAGGTTTTCAGATAAAACATGCAACCAACACCTAGTCTGTCACTCTGAAATTCAACACATGATGGCATACACCTCTAATGCCAGCACATGGGAGACAGAGGAAGGTGGATCTGAGTTCCAGGCCAGCCTTATCTACATAGTGAGACTCTAAGACACATGAACAAGTATACCAGTAGGCATGCTAATGTGGCAAGAGCACAATAACTGGTTATTCAATGCCAAATGGTTACCCCTAAAAAATACACACTATCATATGGACCGAGCAGTCTGTATTTTGTATTTAGGCGCACACATACACACGTAACAATTATAAAGAGGGGCCATGAATTAGGATGTACATGGGAGGGATTGGAGGAAGAAAGGGCAAAAATGATTTAATTATAAACTAAAAAATCCCCTAATTTTGTGCAAACTATTCATCTCAGCTGAACATTCTTAATTTCCAACAGCCCTGCCTAGAATGTGATCCTGTGTAGTATGGTTTACAGTATGATTTGAAATTGTTTCTTAAACAACCTTCCCATTCTATTGTGTGTGATGGTTCGTGTTTATATTCACATCTCTTATCAAACAGCCAATATAACCATGTGAACTGAAATAAAACTCCAAATGAAGTCAGTATCAAAAGGAGTAATGGACAAGATCAGAGAGCCTATTGCCCCCAGGACTCATTTACAGCACAGCTGATAAGCCAATAAATACACAGGGAACGAATGGGGAAGTGACAGGGAAGGGCAGTGCTAATTGTCACACAGGCTTCACTAACACAGATAATATGTTATAGTCCAGTGGCAGAACAACTGAATAGTTAGCAAAAAAAAAAGTTTAGTTGCAAGTTCAGTTTTGCAGCAGCTTTGGCTTTTGACTATCAGCTCAGAACCCCTTTCTGAAGAGTGACAGTGAGCATGCGTCACAAATAAAGCAAGCCTGGGGTTTCAATCCTGAGCACAGGCAGCAGCACACCTATCCCAAAGATGCAGCTCTAGCATCTGAGACGGGACAGCCGTGCTTCAAATTCCAACAGTAACAGAAACTTTCATTTCCTTTTTTCGGTTTTCCAAGACAGGGTTTCAGTGTGGCTTTGGAGCCTGTCCTGGAACTCACTCTGTAGAGCAGGCTGGCCTTGAACTCACAGAGATGCACCTGCCTCTGCCTCCCAAGTACTGGGATTAAAGGCGGGCACCTCCATAGGAGGGAAAAAAAAGGTTCACTAAATAAAGTTCAACTTGGCTTCACAGAAGATAGCCAAGTCCAAACTGGAATGATGTGGACCACAACCCCCAAGATTTCCTCTCTAAAATCCCACCCACAGCATATATTCCCATTGTATCTCAAAGCTAACTGCATCAGGTGATAGCAGTCCAAGACATGTGGGTTTAAAATCCTTCCCTGTTTGTGTAAACAAAAGAGAAAACTCAAAGTAAACCATGTGCACAAGTCTCAAGGCATATAAACTGGATGATTCAGTATTAGTGAAGGTCAAAATGAAAATAAAAATGAAGACACACTATGTCTCTCAAGTAAACATGTGGAAAAACTGTTTTCTAAAAATAAAATAAATGTTTTATTTGGAAAAAGTCGGCTTCTTACAAGGTTTTAAATGGATATTTTCACCCCGTCAATTACAATGGTATTTTAGATGCATTGAGTACAATTTAGTGTCATATATCTTTTCTGTCTCTATTTAGAAGATATTGGTTTTAAAAAATACTACAATTCCAATCCTGCCCATCCTTCCTCCTATCCTTACATTGAACCCATTTTCTATATTTCAGGTAAGTGAAAAGGGTCACGAAAGCTAAGGTTTGTGGAGGTAAGGCTATGTCCAATAATTCTAAGCATGATATAAGTTTCTCTTTAAGCCTTGGTGTATGTGGCAGGGAGGTGGGTACTTACTGAAATCAAGTGAACTCAGCAAACTCCCTCCCTATTTTATCTTTATTGGCTTCCCCGGGGCCAAACTCTGGCCCTCTTGGTTTTGCAAATACTGAAAAACAATGTAAAAAACAAAACTAGCACACACATTTAGTCCATACTGATATCTCGCATACAGCTCTAAACTAGGATATAAATGGAACTATCAAAAATCAAAGAGCAAAGGTCTCGGGGTTAAGGAGGATTCCAGGGTGCTGGTGGGATGTGGCTCAGTGGTACAGCATGTGCTTAGCATGCTTGTGGCCCTGGGTTCAATCCTCAGAACCACCAGGCCCCCCAAAACCCACACATACTCAAAGATTACAAGAGTTTCATACCATAACTAGGGTTTTGGAAAACTAAACTGAATTTAGCAGATGCCTGAAATACCTGTCTATATTAAATCAGACTGTGTTAAAAGTTTTGTAGATTTTAATACTAACTTTTTTGCAGTAGATTTCAAAAATGGCAATGACCTGTAACCACTCAATGTCTCTGAAGAGGAGCAAGGTAGCAATTTAGTGACAACATTCTAGCACTAGGCTTGCAGTAAGCATCTGAGAAGTCCCCAGCAGATGACAGACAGACAGACTGTGGCTATAACAGCCAAGATGTTTCCAGAATTTCATGCTTTAAATTTCTTAAATATATACCTAGCAGGCACCTACTCGAGGCAACTATGATGCTAGAAAAATACTTTAGTCAGTATTTTATAAACCTCCAACTTTTAACTAGTATTTTTATCCATAAATGTTCCAGTAACAATCTCTGACAAAGCATTACAAACAACAACAAAACAAGATTAAGGTTAGAGTTACCTCAAGCAAGTTAGTTGTTATTTTTCCTTTTAAAACATTTAAAATAGATGAATTCAGCAGAATGATTTTAAAAGTTAAGGCTCTCTAAAGAGTTCTAAAACTAAAACTTAAGGCACATATTATAATCTTCATGACACTGTTAAAAGCTAAGATTAAAAAAAAAACAAAAACAAAAAAACAAATCCCTACACTTCTTTCCCATATCCTTTGCCAACCAATCCCTACCTAAAGCATAGTAAATTTTAAACTCTGGCATTGGTAAGGAGTGAACAAAAACAAAAACAAAACAAAACAAAACAAAATTCCACCAATGAACACCTGGTAGGTTTTCCACACAAATGTCCACTGTCTGCATTGAGCACCACTGGTAGACTAGAGGCCAGCAGAATGGTTTCAGATGTCTTGGGTCACACACTGCTCTATTCATGCTTCAGTTCAGACAGGACTCTCCTCTTCTGCGGGGTCTCCGGAGCTATTCTGCT